CACACACACACACACACACACACACACACACACACACACACACACACAAAGAAAACCCTGAACAAATTCTTATTAGGGCAAAAAATTGCTTCTTTTTTTCTGAAATTTACCAGCTGTCAACTTAAGTTCAACATTAGGATTAAATTACAAAAGAACCCCTTCTATTCATAAGAAAAAAATCTATATACTGTGATATAACGTAGCTCAGATAAAAGCTAAATGAATGAACGAGAGCTGCTTTGCTTCTGTATCTGGGTGACACAGCAGCACAGTGACCCAGACACTGACCGTGACACCAGACAGGCCACGCAAACGCACCCACGTCTGCTCCCCCCATCAGTCTGGCCAGCCCCTGCCGTACAGAGACTGGACACACGGGATTGTCCCCGGCAGTCCTCGTGCATAAGCTGCTTGCTCATGTCGCAGACAACTCACCGTAACCCAGTCCTCAACACGTGCCGTGACAAAGTGAAAGGCTCCTTTGAGAAGAGAATCATTGATGAAGACGAAGATAGTTTCAAACAGGTGTGGCCCTCTTTAAACACTGTTTTTCAATCTTCCTTTGTGAATTTAGTAAGCCTTAATACAGTAGCATTGAATTAAACTAACTTGGCATTTAACAAATAAAGATAATTTGGGAAATTCTAACTGATCTAACACAGGATTTAGTAAGGATTTAAAATCAGACAGTGAAAACATCTGTTTCATCTGAAATATCAGATTTTTTGTGATGTTAATTGTATTTTTTTAAAAGGAACCAACAAAAAAAGTTAAATAAAAAACACTGCTGCCGTTTGAAGGAGCATCACCACCAGCAGCCTGATGGCTGCCGATCCTGCCGATCACATCAGCACATCAAAGTGAGCCAACTTGTTAGTGATAAATCTGGAATTACACTTATTCTGCAAATCTTTTCTTGTCACAGCATGAAGGATTAAATCGTGACCTGTCCACAACACAGAGCTGAGACCGGTATTTCAGCTAAAACAGAACTTTTTACACCAATTTTGTGTGAAACTTGAGGAACAAACCACTTTCAAATCAGCGCCTCAACAACAGAACTAATCTTATTCTTGCAGTTTTATCAGCTGATCTGGTTCTCAGTTAATGTCACAATTAACCTCCAGTGATGTAGATTTAGTGAATCTTACAAAAAAATACTAATTTTTACACTTCTTTTTCAAACATTGAAGGAAAAAAAAGGAGCAGAGCTTGGTGTCCAGCCATTTGCTGTCAGGTTGAATAAACACAAAGGTGAGGGATCAGGAGACCCCCCTCCTGCTGATCCTGTTTGTGTTCAGGCTCAGGTTTTGTTTGAACTCCGAGGTGCTAAACACCTTCCCCCCTGAGATAAAAGATGATTGATACCTTTGACGGGAGCGACACCTTTAACGGCTCAGGGCCTTTATAAGCTCTTCTTTAGTGCGAGCCCCAGGTCCAGGCAGCTCGCTCGGAGCCACCGAGTCCCTTTGCAGCAAGAAGAGAGACGCAGAGGCGTCTCTCCACTTTGAAGTGGGCCCCCAACCCTGTGAGGCTTTCAACATAGAAATGTAATTAGCTCCCAGTTTTGTTTTTGTTTTGTTTTTTTACCTAATGTGGGTGACATTTGGGGCAGAAACCCAGTCCTGTATAAATATCTGAAGCAACAGGAGCCACAGAAGCACTGAGGCTCTGGCAGCTGAAGACACAAGTCATGAACGTCTTCCAACGTTTCCTCCTCTTCCACTGTTTACTCCAGCTTACCTGTAAGTACAGTCACCTGTCACTAATCTGCACAAGTTTACAAACTGTGAACTGGTAAATGTGTTAGTGTGTGTGCTCTCGTTAACAAAATTGAGATTTTTTTTTGCTTGGAAATTCTGGTAATGAGCAAAAAGGAATAATAGTTGTAAAAATGGTTTCTGATTAGTAGCTTTAGCAGAAGTTTGCTGCACCTGTCAGTTTGTCTCGTGAGTGATTTCAGTTCCTAAATCATTTGAAAGCCACTGATGACAACGAGTGTGTTTTTGTGTGTGTTTTGCAGCGAGTGGGGTGTTGAGCAGATATATTGATCGGACAAACCTGATCTCACGACTGTGCTGCAGGAGGCAGAGTCACTTTGTGTGCATTGGACAAGGTGAGGCAGTATTTGTGTATTTCTGGAAAATCAGGCCAAGTGAGGTTTATTTTCGGTTCAACATGTTTGTCTTTAAAGTAACAGAAACTTGAGCAAGTCGTTTTTTCTCTCCATCTGTTTTGCATTTGTGCTATTTTAACCACTAACTATATCTGAACAACGTGCTCGTAGACGAGTGGACTTTTGGTTTTTGTAACTTTTCTACTTTTCCAAACTTCTTTTTCCGCAAAATATTTTATTCATAGAAATATATTTGAAATCTTTTTAAATCATTCCCAAACCTTCTTTGTTTTGAATTTTGCTTCAACGTATTTGCTGTTTTTGTTCCTTATGTTATATTTAGAAAACTTTCTGCAAAATTTAGCTTTTAACTACAATTTGACTACTTTTAACTGGCCTTTTAAAATCTTACTGTTTCATCAACATTTTTGCTACTTTCAGGCCAAAGGGGCATTTACTATTTTGAGCTGTTTAGCTGATTCTAGTTTGCTACTTTTAGCTTTTAGCTATTTGTTATATTTAGCCTTTACTACTAGTCTCTAGCAACTTTTAGCTACACTTTTGTTGCTTTCTGCTAGTGTTTGCTGTGTTAGCTTTCAACTAGCCCTTTGCTACTTTAGGTTTTAGTTCGGCTTTTGCTAATTTTTAGCTTAAATCTTTTTTAGCTCTGGTTTCAGCTTCTTCAGTAAAGTCATTCAACCCTCACTGTTCACCCTGTATTTTATAGAAAATGTACATATCTAATTACTATACAATGATAATCAATAAATAATCAATCAGGTGTCTCTCTCTCTCTCTCTCTCTCTCTCTCTCTCTCTCTCTCTCTCTCTCTCTCTCTCTCTCTCTCTCCCTCCTTAGACATTTCTGGTAGAGCTGTGAGCGTAGATGTGGGATTGTGCCGGTCACACTGTGGGGTGACCATAAGACCACCACATGAAGCAGGACAGCAGGAATATCTAAAACATTCATCAATGCTGGAGTTTCTCAAGAACAAAAAGGTGAGATCAGTTTTCAGTCCTGCCACAGGAGGGCGCTGTACAGCTAAACGTCCAGGTTTACGTCAGAAACATAGCTATTGATGATTTGTGTCAGCCATGGCAATAAATGAACTTTTATATAATGCAGGACATAAAATCTTCAGTAAAAACAGTTAGTTAATCGATACAATAATTAATTATCTCTCCTGCTGCCCTATAGAGTCAAGGTGACCCATGGGCCCACAAACGTTAATGCACAAAAATATGCTCAGACACATCCAACCAAAACCATTCCCCTCGGTCCATTACAGATGAGAACCCACAGACCTGCTCCGTCAGACGGCCCAGAGGGTTTGAACCAGCAGGTGACGTCATGCGGGGTGAACCAGGTGTGCGAGCCGGCCGGGGTGCGCGTGGAGCGGGTGCTGCTGTTTGAGGGGCCCCGGGAGGTGGAGGTCATCCAGGAGTGTCACTGCGAGATGAAGCTGACCCAGTGCGTCCGAGTCCCATCACTGAAGACTTATTACTCTGGAACACCGTACGAGACGGTGCTGGATGTGGGAAGATGCTCCTGGTCCAAAGGATCCCAGGGTGAGAGTTGGCGCGTGTGTGGGTTTGTTTGGGAGCAAAGGTTATGAGAAATGATTATGATTTACCAATTTGGTTTGTGCTGAAGTTTTTATTATTTTATTTTATTTTATTACTACTAGAGATTCCGTAGAGTAGTTATTGATGATTTATTTGACCCAGTGTTAAGAACGGTGATTATTTATTTATTTTTTTTCAAACGCATCATTTGTCAGTAACGTGCAATGAAGGGTGTAAAAGGTGCTGCAGCACCCCCTGGTGGATGCCAAAGGCCATGCATGTCTAAATACATAAAGAATACACATAGAATATTTAGTGATGCATTTGTTTAACTTCTGTTTTGTTTTTGCTGTGTTTTGTAAATCTGATATTTTACGTTATATGAACTTTACATATTTACAGATATTATTACACAGGTCATATGTTATTACATATGTGTGTAAATCTCTACAACCACTTAAACCCTAAAAGAATTGTGTTTGGGCTGTATGGATGTTTGTAAAACGTATTGTTATACCTGAGCTGCAGTTCTTTCCTGTAAAACTTTTCCATCTTCTCACATCATCCACAGAGGGATTCTCCTGTGTTCCCATCAACTTTGACTCAGCGTTGTTGGAAAGCCCAAACAAAGTGGACCTGATCCGGACCGTGGCGTCCTGCGAGCTGAAGGAAAGCTGCTACAGGGCTCCGTTTGTGGAGCATCATTACGAAATAGACATCCACGCGGATGGAGTGAAAGAAGAAAAGCTCAAAGTAAGTTAGAAATAGAATTTTTTTAATACACAAGCTTTTTAAATGAAATTATTTCTTTTTCTGTTCCTGCATTTGGAATTTACAGAGTGATTTGCTTTAAATAAGATGCCGTTTCACACTCTTCTTAGCGTAGGGGAAATGAGGCTTTATCTGGGTGCCAGACACTAGAATGAATTGTCTTTATTTATCATGCAAACTTGTGGAAGTCAGCACTCAGTCAGGCTAATCCTCGGCTGGCACCGCACGGCTGAGGTGTGAAGGACTACAGGATGCACTGCATTCCTATTTAAGTGCTCACTAGTTTTATCACTGCAGGGTTTTTTAATAGTAGAAACATTATGTCCCTTCAAAATGCATAAAAGAGGAAAATAACTATCTGCAAAACTCATTTTTATCATAGAAACGAGTCTTTCAAGTTTTGTAACCAAATGTAGTTTCTATTTTGCTTCATTGAAAAACAACAGTAATAAAAAATGTGGCAGGAATGATCGAAGGAAACTGGAATATATTTTGGATTATACTGGATTAAACTGGGTTATATTTTATTTTTAATATAATACATTTTGATTTATTTTATGAGTGAGTGTTCTTGCCAGCCAAGATTAAAAAAACCACAAAAAATCAATTGCAGAGCACAACAATTAAACAAATTAGCAACGTAATGATCATAATTTTCTACCAGCTAAAAGCAGCAGCCAGAACAAAAACATGCAAATAAGTGACAGAACCTGCAAAACAAGATAAAAGAAAAGCAACATTAAAATAATATAGCTACTACAAATAAAAGAGATTCAAAATGACCTTTTTTCCCCCCATTAAACATAAAATTAGACAAAAGTGTACCGTAGAACAAAAGGGTTAAAGGGATAAATTTAGGTGGAGTTTTTCCTCTGCTGCATCTCAGCACCAGAGCCGTGAACGGCGCTCCTGCAGGTGTGGAATCAAAGCAGTTAACATGTTAAACAGCAGCTGGGCTTCGACTCAACTGGGTCAATATTTGTCACCAGCTGTGAGCTGATTCCCCCTTTTCTCTGTGCTGCTAATTGTCTTCAGGAAGTAGACGTGGGCAGATGTTTGGGAGGCTGCACAACAGGAAGCCGGTGCCTTCTCAGGTACGTATGAACTCGGCGGCCCCCACTCGACACACACACACACACACACACACACACACACAC